TTTTTCACAACAGATCTGTCAGGGAGATGATTGATCTTTCAATTTTCATAAGGAATGCATGCCATTAGAGCCGAGGATTGGAATTATCCTATAAAAGTTGCCTGCTTTAGATTTTATACACTTAAAGGACAAACACCTCTGTCTGTCTCCTTGATCATTTCTACCACATGTTACACTCCAGCGGTTTGAGTAGGAAAGCAATTATGTTACCTCATCAAACCAGAAATGTTTTCTTATCATGGCTTCTTTTACATTACATTACATTAGCCATCTTGGCAGGAAATCTTCCCGTACCTGAATCATTGGAAAGTGTTTCTCTTTATCCTGGCATGCAAAACACATTTTGTTTGTTGATGTGAATTAGCTTGAAATGTGTCCAATCATCATGGCTCTTTGAATGTAAAGGATTTTGTTTGCCTGTGTTTTTATATCTGGCTGGCTCCATTTGTGTATGTACCTACACACAGTTATCTACATTGTCCGAGCGTGTACCCGTATGTGTTTTCATGTTTACCTCTCCTTGTTAACGCAAGATGTATTCTTTTTATGTGTGTGTGTGTGTGTGTGTGTGTGTGTGTGTGTGTGTGTGTGTGTGTGTGTGTGTGTGTGTGTGTGTGTGTGTGTGTGTGTGTGTGTGTGTGTGTGTGCATACGCATACGTACGTGTAAAGCAGGTATTTAACAAAGGCAAGATGTTTGCTTTATTATCAACATTAACTGCGTAAACACAAAAGGCTTCAAAGTTTCATTCAATGACACTGAGAAGCTGTGGGTGGCTACATCAAAGCTCAATACCTTCCTCTCTCCCCCCATTTTAATGAGAAACAGGACTCACCAGCCTTGACTGAACCTGCCATCTGTGTGTGTCTGTTTTTTTTCCTTCTTGTTTGCGTGTATGTGTGTGTGAAATGTGGAAGCAGTTGTGTGTCTGCGCATATGTAACCATGCGCTTGTTTTGTGTAAAGTGGCTCCACAATGCCAGACAACATATTTATAGAGGCTGTGTCTTATGTTTGATCTAACGGCTATATGGCTCCCTCCATCTCACGTGGCCGTGCTTCTGATTTTGGAGGAGATTAATAGTTATAGTAAAGATGAATAGCTGATTAGTGCTATGGAAAGACCTCTAAATGTCTTGCGGCATGACAGACACTTTTTCATGAGCCATTCATTTCCTTTTGGGACTGGTGTGCAAATCCGTGATACGACCACAACAAAGACTCTCCATGTGTGTGCACCGCCGCCTCACCTTTGTTGGAGAAATACGTACACGACATGGGGGCATTTTACTATGGCAATTAGGAGGAAAACCAAGATTGTTTTTCTGTGGCGGACTGCATATGCATTGTGCACTCAGTCAGTTCATTTAACTGCTTGACTGGAATGGTCCCGTTCAGTTTGACAGATCAGAAGAGGAAAAAAAATATCTCAACACCATGAAAACCAAAGGCTTAGCGCTAAGCAAATCAGCCTTTTGTCTTGTTCAATTCAAATCAAAGGATAACCAGGAATGTTTGTTTGACAACAGCATTTACAATGCATTGTTCTGAAGCCCAGAGCCTCCCAAACAAAGACAGATAGGCTTTAAACAAGTCATTTAATTAGCACCGGATCCCCAGCTTTGGCTGCGCCAACCAATTATACATTCCTGAGGCATGTGCAGGTCCTATTTCACAGGAGCGGGAGGCAGATCCTCTCCAGCCCTGTCTCTTACAGTACATCTCTCCCCTTCCATTTAAGAGAAGGTAAATAGCCAAGACAGACAGCTTCATTAGCCAGCGTCTGAAGAGCGGAGGGCCGATTGTCGCTTAAATAGTGCGCTTTTACTGCAGGCCCAGCCGGCGACCTCCGATCAATTACAGCTGACATTATTGTTTGTCGGGAGCTTTTTTCCTGGACAGAGGGAGTAAAAAACGAGATCAAGCCTGAGCTTTGGCTGGAAATGTAATCTTCCCCCTCTCTTTGGTTCTTTCGCTCCACAAACAATAAATCATTCAGTTGAAGAGATAATAAAGTGCCAAGTAGGAGCTAGTTTAATTTTTGTCAGGGGAAATCTGTCCACAACAGAGTTAAGGGTAAGGGGCTGGCTGCTACCTCCGTACCATTTTCAATGACAATGGCTTAGTTCCTTTTTTCTTATTTTCCTCCGCAGGGTTACACGTCCAGAAAGTCCTGTTTAGATGAAGATTAACTGCTGCACAAATCACTGCAGGTTATCATTTCTGTCATCAAAATAAATTACTGCTCTCTTTTTAATCATTTTAAAGCATTCAACATTCAATCTTTTTTCGGTGTGATGCTTTTAAGTGTCGGACCTACCGTCAGCCGTGCGGTTTGGTTCTGATGTAACAGCTTTTTAATCACGCCGTTACCAAGGGCTGTTTTAATTCATTCCATTCATCCTCCGTGATTCAGATCTTTGCTTATCCATGCGTGAACTCCCGAGCACTGCACGACATAATAGCTGAGCTGTTTATATTGGTATTAAGTGATTTGTAGTTTTAATGATGGTAAATAGGAGTTCACCTTTACAGGTCCCTCAGGCTTACTTCAGGTAAATTACTGCAAATGCATTGTTTATGCCCTTCAGCAGAGAGGGGGGCTTGTGGGAATTCACCTCTCATCAGCTCTGAACTTCTCTATCAGAGATAAACACAAACTGACAAATATGTTTCTAACAGTTTGCCCAATGGAGTATCTACACAATATCTAGGTGATTAATGAGTCTGACTAATTTGTTTTGATTCTGTTTTTCAAAAAGAAATCCCTGCTTAGTGTTCCAAAGTTCTGCAGTTGCTTTATTTAGCAAGAACAAAACCAAGCAATTGAAAAGTAAGTGCATGGGAACTAAATCAAAACACTTATGCAGAAAAGGCAGATTTTGTGAATAAACCAATATCCTCCTCACCTGGCTCTTTTCAGCCACAAATAAAAGGATTTGGTGCACCCTCTTGGTTCGTGGCACATTCCCCTACAGTACCCTGAATGGGCCTTTCTGGGAGAAACAGCGCTTTAGGATGGGGCGACACGAAAGGGGCTGGACAGGCACTGAAAGCGAGACTAATACCACTTAGAGGGAACAGAGGTCCAGTGTTTCCCCCCAGGGCTCTCTCAGGTGGAGACACATCACAGAAATTCATAATGCCATCAAGTACAAGATGTAACAAAACGCAAAGAAGATTGTGATTAACACTAGCCTTGTATTATTTTAGAGGATTGGCCTCTTTGTTTATTGATGTATTTCAATCTGTCCATGTGCATGTATACGTGTAGCTGTGTTTGATTGAATGGGTGTAATGCATCCACCTCAAAGGCAAAATATGTCTCTTCACTCTGGCCCTTGAGTGGCCTTGAAAGGCTGATAGGTAGCCTAAACCTCCCCATGTTGTCCTACAGTAAGTACCCCCGCAATCAGGCCCTCTGTGGTGTTTTTTAATTGAGCTTAGCCTGCTGAGTGGTAATTGATTCAGTCTGAGCTACAGCAGAGGCGCTGATACAAGGTGCTGCTTGGCTTCCGCCTTTCTTTAATCTCCACTGCTTTATATTGTTTGGGAATACTCGCCACTGAGAAACTGCATGCCATCTTTCTTATGGAAATCAATGCTTCTTTTGGATGGAGGGGAATGACAGAGAGGAGTACTTCTCATGTCCTTTCATTTTGAACCAGTGTCCTTCTCTTTAGAGGCGTCGCCATGCAGATCTCCTTGCCCTTTGGCTACTGATGTGTTGTCAGAAAAAAAAGAGTGGAGTTGTTTTGTGGATCAGCTTTCTGTAGTGCAGAATCTTTTTTCCCTCTTTCTTTCACGCTGCTTTCTTTTCTTTTTTACCTTGAACCAGGCTGCCAAGAAAAAGAGAAAAAAGGAGTGAAAAATCAACAGAGAGGCTCAATCAGATCCAATAGTGTCTGTGAGGTTTTCTTTAAAGCATTTGCGGAATAGCATCTGAGTGGCGGAGGAATGAGACCAAACTGTTCCCAGTCACTTTTGATCCTGCCAGTTCAAAGTCCCCATAGAGCAGAGGAGGAGGAAGGGGGGTGGTGTGTTTTTTTCGGGGGGGGGAGTACAGACACCTAGCTTTGACCTTCTGTCTGCGCTCGTGTCCTTTGAAAGTTGGCTTGTTTTCATTAAGCCATTCAGAAGCACAGTTCTGGGCCGCAGTTTGACTAAGTACTAAACCCCCTATGGTATCTTTATAAGACATTCTTTACATTTCGGACTACTAATGCTTTCCATTTCCCCAATTAGGCTTCTATTGCCAGACTGCAATTGAATAATTTAAAACATTTGTAAGACATCTCTGATCTTGTAATGGAATAATTTGTGTGCACATTAAAAAGAAAGAAATGAAAATCCCATTATTGTACGAGCTGAAAGTGTCTTTACTCTTTTTGGTGGCGCTCTCTCTCTGGTCTGGAATATAGGCTGCTTTAATTAGCCTGAAGTCATTGCCATACTGTGGTCTGACGATACTTGTTTGTCATTAGCACATTTAACTAGTCATTTGGGTAATGGCTTTCAAGATTGCTTTTGTATTCACAGAGATATTTTTTTATATGTAAATATTGAAATAATTTCCATAACGTGCCCTTTTTATTCATCACGGAATAATTGATGCATCTTTATTGCTGTGTAAACTTTGGTCTTTGAATGACTGTGTATATAGTTATCATGCCCGTTTTTCTTTATTATTATTATTACAGTAGTATCTATTATTAACATATGTTGTAAAACATTTATGTGTATTATGTTAACATGAAAAGACACCAGAGAAGCGATTAATTTGAATTATTCATTTTTTTTCCCTAATGGATGGCAGTGTAAAGCTTTAGTGTTATTGGACACCATTTTTAAAGGGTATCTCAGTAGTGGGAATTACTGATTGCTGAATTAACAGTGGCAGGTCTTGAGTTTTTTTTAGCCAGAGCCTCAGAAGTTTCCCCAGTGGATAGCTCACTCATAATATGCATCATTGAGTAACCAACGACCTCTTCATGTGTCTCAGGCCTGGAACTCCCCTTCATGATGATGCCACACCCCCTGATCCCCGTCAGCCTGCCCCCAGCCTCTGTCACCATGGCGATGAACCAGATGAACCACCTCAGCACCATTGCCAACATGGCCGCTGCAGCACAGGGCCAGAGCCTGCCCTCCAGAATGGTCACCTCCGTAATAAAGGTAACTTTTAAAAAACAGAAAGCAGACACAACTGTTGAACTTGACTTAAAGGTCACCTATTATGCAAAATGCACTTTGTCATGTCTTTTATACATCAACATGTGTCCCCTCTGTGTAAAGAGATTCTGAAAGTTTCAGGAAAAAAGATTTGCTCTCTTTTCGTCCTGATCCATTTATATAAAAACCTGTCTGAAAATGAGCTGATCAGATTGTGGCTACTTTATGATGTCATAACAATTTGTTGGCTTGTGTAACCATTAGCCAATCACCAACCAAGGTAACACCCGCCCCCCTTATCACCTGAATCTCCTCCTAGAGCACCATTGTTCTTTTTAACCAAATATCT